AAAGGTGAACCTGTGTTTTTAAATCACCACAGCCAGAGGCAATGCCAGCTGTACGGATGCAAGATTTGGCTCATGCGAACACTGAGGACTAATTTAGACGTGAATTTTAAACTCTGGCTTTAACTGCTTGTGTATGTGGAGCTGGGGTCTCAGTTTGTTAGAAAAGCTGAGTTTAGAAGTAGTGTTTCGTATGCCTGATGTGTGGTCTTGATGACTGCAGTCACCAGTACCATCACAGGAGTTGTGGTCAGGTGGGTAACTGGGCTGCTGATACACAGGAGCTAAAGTCTCATCTGCTAATGTTTTGCATGGAGGATTACACGTGCTTTCCTGAAAATGGCACTTAAATATCCGCTTCTCCCAAATCTGACTGGTATTGATCCATGGATGGAGTGCAGGATGAATGAATTTTATTTATGCAGAGGTGAGCCGATAATTTTAATCATGCCACACATTTCCATTTTATTTAGAAACCCAATCGTAGCAGGAAACCAAACAAGAAAAGTCTCCCTTTTTTCTGAATGATGTTATTTATTTATCTGCCAAAGTGCTTTGCATTTCCTTAGGTCACAGACCAGCCCATGTCTGGCTATGTTAATATTCTAAGAGTTATGCAAAAGCAAGGTTTAAGAAAAATCATTCAACTGAAAGAAATAGGATCTTAAAATCCCAAAATAGAGCATGGAAAGGTACACATCATGTCTGGCTTCTCTTTCCCCTTGTGGCAAATGTGACTCAAAGGAGTTGGTTTTGTTCCAGCTCGATCTGTATACAGTTTGGGGGAGTTTTATTGTGAATAGGTCACCTTATAATACACAAAAATATTTCCTCCCAGAGTTCTGTATTCATAAATCTTTCTCAGTTCTCATTTTCTTGAAAGTGAAATCCAGATGATTTTTTCTTCGTGGAAAGAAGAGTGAAAAAAATGAAGGAATACCTTAGCACAGAGCTGGTCCTCTGTTCTTGTCTTTGCTAAAACTCCCACTGCAGGGCAAGCTCTTGTCTCCTGTACTGTGAGATGAGCAGAAGAGTAGAACTGAAAAACTGAGACTTTCTAGCAGCTTAGTTGTTGCTGAGGGAGGAGAAAATTAATTTCAAAGCTATTATTTTAAAAAAATGCTTTAAGTCTTCACTTCTCTGTAGGGTTCTTTAAGGGTCACTTTTTCTTCTTCTTTGTTCTGCCAAAGAAAAGATCAGTGTTATGGTAAAATACTAAAGCAGCTGCCTAGAATAGAGGAGGTGAGTGTTTATTGAGAGCGACAGTCTCTCATAGTTCAATTCTGAGGAGGGACGTGTATGTGAAACATAGCTTTAATGTGTTCTTACATTCTAGCTCACCCTGAATTTTTCTCTATAAAAATGCAGCACCAAACATTAACTCATTGCTGTTCTTGCAAAGTAGGGCTAGCATCACTGTTCCCGTGCTGCAGGTAAACAGCTAGGTTATATGACATGACTAAGGCTATGGAGTAAACTGGTGGCAGAGTTGGGTGTGAAACTCTGTTTTTAAGGTTCATAGAGCGTTTCTGTGGGCTGGCCATCTTCATTTTTTTTTCCTAAGTCGTCTTAATGTGTTCTTAGCAAGTGAAAAGTAGGTGGAAGTGCTTATGGTAGATGATCAGCTATATTATCCTTTAAAAGTAATCAATTAACTCAAGGACACACCCTTTTAAATGGGGATACTTGATTTATTTGCATATATTTTTCTCCTTGTATTTGCATTGTATAATGCTGTTTTGATTTTATGGTGATGTCATCCAAAATTGTTGCCACAATGCCATAAATTACCAAATAAATATGTTATTTTCTCCCAGTGATCAAACAATTCATTTAAATTCCTGCCCTATGGAGGACCAGAAGGCCTTTTCCTATGTGTTTTTTATCCCCTTGTCCAGCAGATGATACAAACATTGCCATATGAACAGGCAATCAATTCCCTTCTTCTCTAAGTATGCATCGAACTATACAGATACACACCCATAGACATATATATTATAAGAAGAGTATGAATAGTTTTACCGTGGGAGCTCATTCTATACATGTGCAAAAACATGACTTAAAATTACTTTTAAAGGTGGCCAGTATTAAAAACTGTGTACGTAGCCAGTTCTGTTACATCTGCTACTGACTCTGGTCACTGGGGTCAAATTATCTTTCATGATTTATTATCCGTTTTCCTTTGTTCCAGTCTCCCACCTATAACTCTGGGATTTTATTCTGCCTGGCAGAGGACAGAGTGAAAGCTGTTTTGCTGTCACTGTAATAACTGTTCCAGTCCAAAAGACCCTCCTGTCATCTTAGGTGGATCCACGAAGAATTACTCTGTCAGGGATAACAATAAACATGCTCAGTACTTAAAAACTACTCATCTCTTCTCCCTCTCCCCTTGTAAAGACAAGACGGCTTTTGGTCATACAATGGCTTTTCACTGAAAGCCAGGAAATCTTGGATTCTAAAGTACCATGCTTAGGATGAGTTTCAGGATGGCTCCCCGAAGACTTGGTCTTAATGGGCCTCTGTAGATAAGAAAGGGGCTGATTCCTGCATTCATGCCTGTTCTCAATAGATCTATCATTTCAACCTCTGTTGCCTTTAATCTTCTATACACTCTATACATTTCTAAGTCTCCCCATGGCTGCCATTGTATTTATCACGTTCTTGGCAATGCTGCTTCTCCGGTACCAGCCCTTGTGCTTGGAGTCCAGCTCCACTCCTCCTCCACCTCACTCCCAGAGCCAGCTGGCATGTTTGCACAAAGCCTTGTACCCTATTTTCCCTCCTCACAATCTCCTGAAGCGCTTGTGCGAGTGAGCTGTTGTAGGTGTCTGAGCTGCGGCTGGGCTGGGTTCTGTAATTCTTTCTTACACAAAGCCTGCTTAAGGCCTGTTGACTTCAATGGAGCTATTCATGTAAGTGGAGGCTGCGAATTTGGGCCCTTGGGTTGTAAGGTCTCTGGGGCATAGACCTTGTCTTTGTATGCCTTGCAAATATGTGCTAGATGAGTAATGATAGCTCAGAAGAGTGAGTGTCGCTTTACATTTGCCATACTGAAGGAAGGTTGCCAGCATTGCATTGATGCTGCATGCGGTCCCCTTCCAGGGGGGAATTAATCCTTCTATGCAAAGATACCTCCTGCTGACTGGTGAAAAAGAAAAAAGGAAAAAAAAAGTTTTGGCCATGAATACCATTAGCTTAATCTTGCTTTTCTCTGATCTTCCAGTACTATTTGCTTTGTATGGCTTCATCAAGGTTTTGTATGTGGACTAAATAATTGAAAACAAATTTGGCATGTCTCAGACCATAGAGTTCCCTTTCAGCTGCAACACTGGCTATGCAGTAGATAAATGTCTGGTTTTCATTTTTGGTTTTGTGAGAAATTTAGAGTGATTTGATTCATAATTTTGGATGTGAATAAAGAAGGAGAAATTTCCTTGTCTCCTGCCCTATGGAGGCATTCTGGCTTTCTTGCTTCTCTTGCAGTAAATGGTGTTTATAAAAAAATTACTTAGTACAGAAGAGTCTGTTTATGTTGTTCAACCCTAGAGGCCCCTGAGGCCTTTAAGACCAACTAAGACCTCCTTCTGCCAGGTACTGTACAGTCACCAACCAAAAATGCCATTTCTACAGATAGTATTTTAATGCAATGCAAGAGGAATTGCTGAAGGCAAACCAACAACTGGGGGAAGGATGAGTTTCAAGAAGCAGTGAATCAGTGCCAGACCACATAAGTGATTTCAGGAGAACAAGAGCATATTACCTTTTCAAGACTATTCAAGAATTCTGCAGGCAGGGATATTTGTAGGGTGAAGATGTAGGTATCAGATGGGAACATCTTCACTGTCAGAAGAGGCTGATAGGCAGAAAATGCAATGCTGTTGAGTGTTCAAGAATTGATGCTGATGTTTGGGGCTGGCTTTGGGAAGTCTGGGAATAGGTGTTAACTGGGTAGAAAACAAGAGGTGAGAGGGCAAAGAGGAGAGCTTTGAAGCTGTTTGAAGGCAGGCAGCTCTTATCTGGTGTGAGGGACAAAGGGGAAGCTGGAGAGATGGGAAACTTAGGGTGACTTGAGCAAAGTGAGGGATTGGAAGGACAATCCTTGCAGCTGAATTTGAAATGGATGCGAGCTGGGCAAGACTGCATATGCCAAAGTTAGAGAAAGGCATGTGGGATCATAAATTTTTACCATGTTTATACATAGTTTAACATTTCAGTTCTCAAAATTGCAGACACGTTCACTAGATACTTCCTGTTTAGGGGGAAAAAACCTATTTTTTAACTGCAGTTGAAGTAGGAATCACAAGCTGAGCTGAGGGAAAGTCATTTTACTGAATGTGAGGCTGGACAGAAAGTAGTGTGTGCAAACTGGACACCACATAGGGCCCATTTCAAAACCCCCTATGTCAATGGGCATTTTTCAGTAGTCTTGGTAAGGTCTGCAGAAGGTGTATCTGCAGGAACACAACTGGGAGACTTTCTTTTGTCCTTGAGTTGTTTTCCTGCTAATGGGAAGCAAGAATCACTGCCCAAGGCTGCAGGTGTGGCGAGTTAACACAGCTCTGCAGCTTTACCCACCCCACAGAGAAACATCCTTCAAACCTTATTTGTGAATCATTTACTGCAAGTTATAAAAATGTACTCAAAAATGTGTCTTTTGAGGGGATTTCTCAATTTGTTTTGAAGACAACAAACAAATTTCTGGTAGTGGAGAGGTTGTCTGGAATTTTTCTTTCTGATATATTCTTTTTTTCTTCTTGATATATTCAGTATTATAACCGTTAATTACATGTTTTCCATTATTTCGCTTCTCTTTGTATCATGGACTCCAGCAAATACTCTTAAGAGGATGTCTGTCTCTGAAAGTAGGAAAGAGTCTGTACTACACATATATTTATGTCTCTATGCCTCTGTATCGGTATATGTGTCTGTAGATCTATTTGGTTTCCTGACATGAAGGCATTGCAAGCCCTGTGTGTGATAATAGATTTTTAATGTCTTGCCAGCTTCACGGTTACATGGAGAACAAACCCTTGGGTCTTCAGATCTTCATTGGGACGGCAGATGAACGGATACTTAAACCTCACGCTTTCTATCAAGTCCACCGCATTACAGGAAAAACTGTCACAACCACCAGCTATGAAAAAATCATTGGCAACACCAAAGTTTTAGAGATCCCATTGGAACCCAAAAACAACATGAAAGCAACGTAAGCATATTTATTTTTATTCGCAAAATTGAGGAGGATTAAATTGGCGTGTGAAGTTCCTTCTCTTTGGAAAGGAGTCACTTAAATGAATAATGATGCCGGCTCTGGAAGAACAGCTCTTACTAAAGCATCAGGATGATATGAGTGTAAGCCCCTTTTTATAAGAGCATGAGCAGCAGTTACAAGCACTAGGTTAAAGCTGCTTAAAGTGTTACCATTCATCAGCTCACCATGCAGACATGTTTTTTTTTTTTACCCTATTTGCTGTGGTGACTGTATTGTAATCATCTGTCATCTTCAGAGTCTTTGCAGGGCACTAAGGAAAAACAAGACTCGAATCTTACGTCCTTATCCTGCAAGGATGCAGTGAGAAGCAAGGAGAAGTAGCCAGTGGAGAAAAAGTGTACAGTTCATTTTACAACATTTAATGGAATAGAAGACACGTCTTCTGAACTCAGCCAAGTCTTTGGCCGTGAAATCACACTCTCTTCTTGTAACAGGTTAACATAGACACAAGTACAGGCACATCTTTTCTGTATTACTCCTTCCAGTTTTATGAAGGCAGAGAAATGAAGTGGGGGCACCAGTCTGAAACTTCAGGCTTGAATGTGTGCCAGGCAGCATGAGAGTGATTGCTCTGCAGAGGGAAGAGCTGTATCTCCATCCTTCAGAGGATACTGACAAAATTGGCAGAGCAGCTATGTTTATAAGCCCCTCTACTTCACTGCAAAATCCACATTCTTTCTTTATATATCTTTTTTTTTTTTTTTTTTAGAAAATATACCTCATTCCTCCCTTTCCTTCAAGCTTGTCCTTCCCTCTGCACCCAAGGAAATAAATAAAAGTCCACATCTCAAACTTTAGCAGCCAAGTGCCGAATGGAATATGATTGTCTGTTCCTAACAAGTAACCCTGGAGTAATAAACCCCTGTACACATGCAACAGCAGGGAACAGTGTGGGTGTAGGAAACAGCTTGAGGTTTATGCCTCCCAAAATGTGATTTTAATTCATATAAAAAGAAGAAAAGTGGTGTGTCTTTAAAACTGATATAAAAATGAGTTGGCAGTGCCTATTTAATAACAGTGCTCACCTCTGAGGGCTATTGCTGAGCTGAAGGTCCCAGATTCTGTAAATATTAATCGACACATGCTCTTAATATAGGCAGGTGTGTTTGCTAGGTTACCCTGGACACTTAAGAAGTTAACCTGCACTTACACCAACATTAAGTTGCAACATAACTTAAGTACATTTTAAGTACTTAAGTAATCCTGATCCTTTCATTGCTGCTCAGCTCCATCGTGCTCCGTACACCCTCCCTTTGTGCAGGGACACAGTGAAGGAGAGCAGGGAACCGTTTTCTGCTCTGCTGGTTTACTGCCTTGACTGGGAACATCCCAGGGCTTTGGAGGATGATGTGGTGTCCTGGTCCAGGGCAGGAGAGCCCAGTTCTAGCAGCAACGCATACCTTGTCTGAAAGGAGGAGAGAAGTTCCTGCTTTGGAGTTAAATTCAGTGCTTTCATTACAGACTGTGGGAAGAACATGCCTGGATGGTGCATGCAATTAGCTGGTTCAACTGACCTGACTCCCTGTGGAGCCGAACTAATTTGCCCATGTGCAGGCAATAGCTGCTGTGCAGTCTCTGGACACCGAGCTGTTGGGAGAGCTGGAGGTGGAGGATTTAATGCTCTGGAGCTTGTGGAGGGCTGCAGCACAGGCTCAGCTTATTGCCTGCCCCAGTGTGCACTTCTTGTTCTGGTTCACCGTCCCTGCCCTGGTGTGCCGGGGCGGGGGCTTCAACCACGTGAGCTCTTGTGCTTAGCACAGGAGAGAAAATAGACATAAGGTTATAATTGGAGAGCGGCTTCTGCTGTCACCAGAGTAAAGGCCACCTCTAGCCCTCAGCTGGGACATGCCCAGTACGTGCTGAGCTGCTGGACTCAGACTCGTTGGGCAGGGGTCTAGCAGCATCCCTCGCTCACTGTGTGTCTGGGATTTCTTCCCCTGTAACTGCAGACATGGCAATCATAGAATCATAGAATTGTAGAATGGCCTAGGCTGGAAGGGACCTTAGAGATCATTTAATCCAACCTCCCTGTCATGGGCAGAGACGCCTCTTAACTTATATCGTAAACAGAATAAATAATTGGAGCTGCTTTTAACATAGAAACTAAAGTAAACTGGCTTGATCCTTTTGACTGTCACCTATTTCCAAACTGTTTGAGAGGAGAAATGTTAAGCTAAATGGTGTGTGTGTTTGGCAGCATTGACTGCGCAGGGATTTTGAAGCTGAGGAACGCGGACATCGAGCTGCGCAAGGGAGAGACAGACATCGGCAGGGAGAACACCCGTGTCCGGCTCGTCTTCCGCGTCCACATCCCTGAGTCCAATGGCAGGATCATTTCTCTGCAGGCAGCATCAAACCCCATCGAATGCTGTGAGTATCTCCTCAGATTTGCTCTTTCTCTGTCTCCTGCAACAGTGATCACCGTGTCTTTGTGCTCCAAGCTAGCACTGAGGGGAAGCAACCCAGTGGGGTCAGACAGGCAAATGCAAGATGCTCTGCTCTTCCTGCACTGTTTGGGTCTGTGTCACGATTTGAATGACCTGAGGCTCTTACCTATATGCACTCCCTTCCTGAAATAAGCTTTGGTGGCAGGTGGCTCTTCACAGTACTTAGAGCTTGCGAGAACAGTGAGGGACTTCGGGGTTTTGCAAAGTTTATTTATTAGTGTGTTGCTGCTGGATCCTTCTGACTAGCATGTCTTCTCTGGGAGCAAGGAGCCCGTGTGGATGTGCAAACAGGGCTGTATATACATTCTCCCTGTTTGTGCATGAGTGTGCAAGCTTCCTGCCTTCCTGGGAGTGGTTTTATTTTGAGTGGAGGCATGAGAACATGTTATGCACAAGCTGTCGGGTGGTGGGAGGTTTGTATTCAAACCTGGGCTGGATTCTAGCACTGTGGACAGTCCTGCCAGTCCCAGGAGTGACTGCAGTGCTCTGATCTGAGCTGTGGCAGGAACACAACTGAAATGAAGAAATAGGTTTGATTTTGAGGCTTGGAAGCATCCTGGTTGTTGTTTTTTCTAGATGTCAGTGCTAAAAGCTGTGCAGCTCAGGAGGCTGCAGCTGAAGCAGGGAAAGCCCAGGTTGATCTGGTATTCCCCTGAGGGACAGAGAAAAACTTGCAGTTTTAATTCTGAGGGGTAAATCCTATAAGCATGTAAGCTGAGAAACCTGCACCTCCCACTCACTTTAACGTACTAGATCCTGAGAGAGGCCTCTGATGAGGTGCCCCCTGTGTCGCAGTCATTTCTGGAAGGGCTCCACCCACTTTGCTGGTTTGTGTGCATCCTGTGATGCTTTTTGTTGGTAAATGGTGCCTTTTCAGTGGTTTGGGGATTTCACAAATGCATAATGAACAGTTTTCCTCTCCCTTTGCTGAATGACTCACCCCTTTAGCAGAACCTATCTTGCCATAAGTCATGTGAAGAAAGTAATTGAAGATTTTCTCATGTGTGAGATGCAGGCTTTACTTAAATAACAACTGCTATGAATAAGAGAGAAGCCAATTCTGGGCGGGAAATCAAGAGAAATTGTGACTAGTGAATTGCTGATGGCAGCTTTTTAAAGAAGAGTATAAAAGAATAAACAAGGCCAGGCTAAGGAGAGGATTATGGGTATATATGATCTCTTGGCAATGTTTATGAGAAAATACCAACTATCAGAGCATTTTAGCAGCTGAGCGAAGTCTCACCCGCTGTCAACATGGGTAACACTGCACCGTGATGGGGAAGGAGAGTAGTGGGAGTAGCCACCACCTTTCTCCATAGGAAACTGTTACAATCCTTTGTAGGACCAGATGGCTGAAACAATAGTGGCCTCCACCCCAAACATGTCCCTGCTGAAACAAAGGCCCATTTGCTAAAGGAAGCATTCAGCAAACTACAGCTCCTATGGATAGGAAAGGAATTGTGGCAAAGGATCACCTGGCTTCTCCCTCAATTTCTTTTCCAAGTGGAAACAGCCCATTCCTGGCTGCAATGGGGAGCTACTTGGGTGGAGATGCTCCAGGTGTAACTCCTACGTCCACTGTAGAGAAAAACAGCATGACCCCAGAGCACAGGGTGGATAGTCAGCTGGTCATGCTGGCAGCCCCACTGATCACACTCTACTTATTCAAATTCTCCTACAGGAAAAGCAAATACGAGTTAGCCAGGCATTTCTAAGACCCTTCCACAGTTGCACACGGTATTTGTGCCCATCACCAAAGAGTATTCAAGCAGAAATCTGGTCACGGTTTACCAAATGACATTATGTTTTTCTGAATTGTATGCGCACATCTGATTTTCCTGTGCACTGACTGCTATTTTCAATGGTTTGCTCAAGATATCTAGACATTTATTCTGAGATGTTTTTGTTTTGATGAGGCTTAGGGGCATAAAAAAAGCCACGACTAGAGATACCAGTGTAAGTGGCTTATATTTATGTTTTATATAATTAAATTATGAAAATGTTGGCTGCATAGCAGACAGCTAAGGTCCTACACAAGAAAATAGTTTTTGAATGCTGGATATGTTGGCAGTTTGGAGAGATATGTTAAGGACTGTGCTTTTCTGAACTCATGAAAATAGAGTATAAAGTGATTTGGAGTAATAAGCCTCTTCTATTTAGAATGTATGTTGCATATTTAGCGACGTTTTTGCATTTCAGCAGCACTTCCTGATCTCAGCCCAGTTCTGGGAAGATGGTTAAAAACATTAGTTGGTTCAGACAGCATTAGTAATGCAGGCTAAATTGCACTAGAGATGATAATCTCAGTCTCTTCCAGACAATCTGCACGTGTTGCAGAGCTCACAGCCTCGAGTAAGCGCAGGTGCCCTGCCGAGAAGGGGCGCGCTGCGGCTGCCTGAGGTTTTCTCCTTGCGTCCCACCTCCCACCATTGTGTGCACCTGGGATTCTCTGTTTTTTTCCTTTGTTTGCTTTTCATTTCTCTTTGACATGGCCTCATAGGAACCCTTACTCTCAGGGCCTCTCCTGTAAGATCTCTCCCGTCTGGTAGCTGTTAATAATATCCCGCTGGGAAAGCCTTGCTAAGTAGCAGCTTTAAGATAACTGGCCATTTCCCTACCAGTGGGGTTCCCCCGAGAGCACTGTTGCTACCAACAGAATATCTGAGTGCTCTCCTCAGCAGAAGCCGATCCCAGCTAAAAACTCCCACTAGTGTCAGCAGATCATTAGCTGCAATGAAGCAAGAACTGTGAAGTATCTGCTTTTCACAGGGCGATTTGGTTCCACCTCATCTATGTCACGTTCAGCACTTGACAGGTTTTAGGAGGGGATTTCACAAGTTCAAAGCATCATCCGGAGCAAGTTCCTCTCCAGGCAACTGTGTGGGAGGACCAAGGAGGTGATAGGTTGTTAAATGATCAGTTATGCCTCAAAATGGACCTTGTATCCAGACAAGCTTACACATTCAGCAGCTTGCAGCTTTTTTTGTCTTGTTGCCTGTTCTGAAGTTCTGAAACCACTGAGGAGGCAAAGGTATTTGAAAGCCCTCTGGTAATTGTAGCAACAGGCCATCACTTATTTAGGGGTAAAAAGCCAGTGTCTTGTAGGCGTGGTGCTGGAAAGGTGAGAAAAACCCCCCTCAGGTGTGTTGTTCCACGGTGAGGCCCTGAAATGACAGGTCTGCGCAGCAGCGCGCTGCTCCCTGCCTGCACACCCCGGTGCTGTGAGTCGTACCACAGCTGTGCATGCCCAAATGTCCATCCCTGCTTGTGCACATCTGTGCTTAAGGCACAGGCATAAGCCAGCTCATGTAGCTCAGCTCTTGCTGGGCCGGGCAGGGCTATTACAGAGCTACTGTCACAGAAGGTGGTGAAATCACAGGTGTGGAGGGTTACTGAGTTAACTTGTCCCTGCAGGTACAGTCCTAATAGCAAGCCACTTGGCAAATTGCCCATGAAGGGGTTTGCTATTTGCAGGTCTATTACTTGTTTTCAAACTGTTAAGACAATTTCTGTGACATTAGTTCTAGTTGTTTGATTGGTCTTTCACTATGAGCTGAAACTCATTTCTTGAAGAGGGATTGATCTCTGGAGCTGCATTTCAATTCCTTGGCTGAAGCATCCATGGACCAGAGAAGGAGCAGTACTGAAAGGAGTTCAGAGTAGCCACATAAGCACCTGTAATGCAGCTTGTTTTACTCTACATTGTCCGCAACCAAACCCTGCTTTATGCAAGTGTCTGTGAGACAGGAGTGCGAGGCTTAGCAGTATCATCTACCCTGTGTCACAGATTTTATTCTAATGGATCCTCGTTAAACTTTCCCAAAGTGTTGCACAATTCTTTTTTTTTGTATAATCCATGTCCACTGATACTAAGCTGTGCTCATGGAATCCCTTAAAATGCAAAAGATTGCACTTGGCATGAGACAAGGAGTCTAAAATCTTGTTCTTATAATAGATATTCCGAGGTGGTAAAAAAAACCAAACCAAACAAAACTTATTGCTGAAGAACTGCATGGTCATCTGAGGAATTTAAATAGTTTCTATTATTGACCATATTTTGTTCCACTAAATTGAGTCAAGTATCTTATTTCCCTTTAATCAATTTCCCTGGAAGTTTCCTTTATTTTTCTCTCCTTCTAGTAGGTTTTCCCATAATATTAGACAATCTGAGCCTGTGCTATGTGACACATTAATAACTACAGAGGAAAGAGCTAGTCATGTAAAAGAATGTTGTCTTGGCAAACCAGAGAGTGCTTTTCCTCAGCTGGGAGTTGTGCTGGTTGGAATACAATGGCAAGCAAGAAGAAGCTCTAGTTTACTTAGATAAAAAAGGAAAAACAAATGGTCTCTTTGTACTTGCAAATTTAACTATAACTATGATTATTATAAGAGCAGCATGGTTTTCAGTTGAATTAAAGGATTTTTTTTTTGCCTCTTTTATTTCATCTCCAAAACAGTCATGCAGTTTGCTGTAAATACAGCTGACACAGAAACTTATGCTTTTTCTAAAGTGAAATTTTTCTCTCTCTTAAAGTACAGAATTTAAAGGCTAATTCTGACATTTGCCACTTTTAATGTGCAACCAAAATATTTCAGTCTGGAAAGTCTGAGTCAGACAGAAGGAAAATGCCTGCCCTTTTTGCAGGCTGCAAGCCTTGCTATGAGGATAAACTTCTGTTTATTTTTTGCAATACTGTTGTTGGTAAAACCAAGTGCCCCAGCATATTACACAGAGCATGGATTTCTGAGCATAATTTAAACTCGGCAGATCTCCTCCACAAGGGATTAAAGGGAAATGCTGTGCATACCTGCAGAGATGATCGACAGACAAGTGAACCGAGGCCATGGTTTTCCTGTCATTAATCACACGCTGGTTTGTGAGCTGCCTGCAGTTCATAGAAAGTATCATACTTATCTGACACT